TTTTTGAGAGGTGTGCGGAGCTCTCACGGTGGGTGGGGCTTCATGGAGCAGTACAAAAATGCAAAAATTTTGAAAAATATCAAAATTCCGCAAAAGGCAAGTGGGCGTGGCTAAGGGGCGGAACCCAACTTGCTAGTGCATGAATGCGCGGGTAGAGTACACCGTTGCGCAAAGAGTGAATGTGAAATTAAAAAGTTGAAAAAGTTATGAAATTTCGAAGTTCGCAACAAACTCTTTAAAGACTGGACGGAGTCAGTCATGTGTTGAAAATCTAATGTCCGCGTTGACAAGTAGGCGTGGCCGTCAGGGCGGGGCTTGCAGTGGTTGTCTGCGTGAGATCTGGTTTTGGTGGCTGCCGCGGTCGAATTAGTGGTGAATTTTTCCTTGAAAAGGGTGAAATTTGTTGAAAAAGTGGTGAATTTGTTTGAAAAGTGGTTAATTTAAGGTGAAAATGGTATATAAAAACTGTGGCTGGTATTACTTCAAGCCTACACAGGATTTCTCAGGTCTCGCGAGTTGATGGCTGATCCCTGAAGGGAAGTGAAAAAAGCGGCACACAATCCCCCCCCCCCTTGTCGCCGAAACTGCCATTAGTATCTAGCGAAAACAGGATCTCTTGCTAATGGAAGCTCACCGACGGGTCTGTCATGGACCGTTTATGAGTGGCGATTGGATGATACTCGATTCCCTTTCTTTTTGATATGATACCCTTGATTGATAGCTAGCTCTATATTCTTAATATCAATCATGATTGCAACAGACGTTGCCCGTGACCTTCCTTGATAATTGGCGGTGCGCCCAAGTATATGAGTATCCGTAATGTTTCTGCAAAACCAGTTCATCAGCAGGTTTGAGGCCCATGTTCTTCTCGCAGTTCAAGACAAACCGTGCCAGAGAGTCGCGGAGATGAGAGAGTCCTCGGGAATGTGGTGATACGAGTAGTTCCTTCCAGTTCACCTTTTTGAGTGCGTCGACAAACGATTCATGTGTGGTCCTTTTGCTGATTCCTTGCGCACTGCGGTAGTGAGGGGGCATTTCGCATTCTAGCTACTTCCCATTGTCGTGTCCATGACGTTACAGGATTTGACAGGTTTCTTTGCAAGAGTTGACTAGTAGTTTCTACAGACATTGACTGGTAATCGCTTCCTGGCTTCACAAGATTTTACAAATCCCTACTTGCTGGCTCGAGACGTCAACGAGAAGTGGCGAAAGTGCAAATTTCCCTCTCCCCTCGCAGCAGTGCGCCCAGCCCTCTCACTTTTCCTTTCCCGCGATGCGTCGCCGAAACTGTGAAAGTCGAAAGGTAAACAGTCGATTCCGATTATAGGACAGTCTGCCGTGCTCACCAGCTTGGTGGCGTCCTTTGTTTTGTAGACGTTTTATCTACGCTCCTCAAGAATATCTCTTTTTCGAGGCTTTTTATCAGGTGAAGAAAGCGCTGTAACCCTAAGTGGCAGTTCTGACGCCTCCCCAGTTGTCCCACCAATCGAAGCTCCGTTGTTTGTAATGAGTTCATTTTTCACCGGGTGACGCTAAGAAGCGATTAGTGAATCTGAGGGGAGTATACTTGGATTTGCTTGACGCCTGCAACGAGTAGGCCCGGAGAGCATTCATGCAGTAGAAATGAAAGGGATTCCGCACTCGATGTTCTCCTTTCATTTGCATTCAGCGACTATAGGCTTGTTAAACCGAGCGCCACTGTCTACACTGTGCAATCGAGGGGTCTGTTTTAATAGGAATCGTCGGCGCTGTCTTGTCGACGGGGGCATTTTGTACTACCATTGCTTCCCTAGTTCCGGTTTACAAATCTCACCCTGGTAAAACTTGTGAACCCTTGTGAAGCTGGTGCAAGATCGTCTAGCCACCATCCTAAAACGTGTCAACTCGAGAAAAGGCTACCTAGATGGGTCGGCACATCTATGGAAAGCAGAATGCCCCCTCGTCGACAAACTGCGCCGGAATCGTCCCACGTTTGATAGGACGTGCTCCGATAACGTAAATGCACCCCGTTTGGAATGGCCATTTAGAAATGAAATCGGTACCTTTTTTTTTCTTTTCGGCCATATAAAAGAAGTCGGCACTATTGAACTATCCCTACGCCAAAAACTCAGAAAAAATTTTTCGCTGAAAACCGTTGTCTTAGGTGTAATTCGATGCGCTTGGTCCACGAATATAGCATCCCATTTCGAGGCGTTGGCGTTTATATTGCGCCCGTTATGTGGTCCCAATTTGGCGCGCCGATCACTTTTTTTTTCACTCAAAGTTGATGAAAACTTGCATATGGGGGTTAATTGAGGTCCTGATTACGGAATATAACACTGGTTTCGGACGCTGGCGCCATTTGGCGCTATTATGCGCCAGTACGCTAAATGGCGCCAACGCCAAAAATGAATGTCGGATTCGTAATCAGAACCTCAAGTAACCCCATACGCAAGTTTTCATCGACTTTGGTGTAAAAAATTGGTGGGCGCCAATTTGGTGCATAATGGCGCCAGATGACGCCAGCGCTCGAAACGGATGTGATATTCGTGATCAGCGCGTCGAATTACATCTATAGGCAATGTTTCAGCGAAAAAATTTTTTTGAGTTTTTGGGGTAGGAATAGTTCAATAGTGCCAAGAAGTCTCTAGAAGCAAGCTTTAGCAAGTTGTTGGCTCAGGGCAATCAAACTTATGTTAGCTTCCTATTTTTTCTTTTCGATACCAGCATGTTTTAATCGTTCCGTATTCTAGCATACCCATGTCCGAAACCACAAGCCCTTAGTAATGGGTCAGCTAATGTTCCGTTGATTCTGCCAAAAGCACAGCCAACTGTTTCATCAGATGATGGGCCTTCTGTCAACATTTTCCGAATGATCGGTGAGTGAGCCCATATATTTTGGCCTTCTTTAAATCGCACAGGTTCAGTAAATAATAATGCTTCTTGAGACGATACAGCGCCGAAAAAAAATTGGAACAATTTACAAATTCGCATTTTTATCGGGCTTTCTTATCTCGGGCTTCAGTGCCGTTGTGGGGTAAGCTATTCCTGTTCGACGTCGCCACTCTCTCTTGTCCAAGCAATTTTCATTAGTGGCCTCCACTTCAGTGTGGTTCTTCTGGTGACGTCCTCCATCATTATCTGGTTATCGTTTCTTCTGGTTTTCGAAAAATGTCTACACATTAATCGCTATAATATAATAGCAATACCAGTAAAACTCCTACGAAATGGGTGAAAAGTCCTCGAGTAGGCACCGAATTACGCGAAGCTAGTGTCAGTACCAAGATTTCAGCATCTCGGTGATGATATGGCTGCATCAAATTATGGACCCCAATCCAGTTAAGTACCTATGAGAAAGAAGGGAAACTTTCACTGTTGGATGAAAATTTTGCATATACGACCCTACCTTCCCCTGCGACCTATCACTTTGCTAAATTCGAACAACTTCTTACTACTTTTTTAAGTCATTAGAGTTTTTTCTCACGGTGCATCCAGTTTTTCTCCAAAAATCTGCGCGGCGAGCGCCCAGTGGGAATTTGAAAGGGGTGGTGAGGTGTAGAACACATTTGAACACAAGTAAAGTCACAACGCGAAACATTTTTCTAGAGGGCAAACATGCTTCTACCCTGACCACCGATCAAATATGACTCTCCTCCGGAATCTTAAACTTACGCCATACCGGGCTCCAAACTCTACTGCCACTTTTCCGAGCCTGAAAATTGGTCCGTTTTTCCCCAGAGAATTGCTCTCCTTGCGGGCCCGCAAATATGCCCCCTTCCCAGCAGCTCTGACTCAATATGGCCCGTCTCGCTGGAGATCCCGCACGATGTGTCCTGCTGGACGGATAGGAAGCTTCCTCTCAGCGGGCAAAGCCCTTCGCTGTAGCTCGTATTTCACGAGAAAATGGGATACCCATGGATTCCCTAGAATGCGCTGTGAAGTCGATGCCTCGAAAAGTAGGATATTTTACAGTCGGTTGGCTACCTCAACCGAATATTACCAGTATGTTTTGCTAGGGTTTACTATAACCAGGCTCGTTCACTGGTTCAGAATTGAATAAACACGTTAGTATGCTGAAAAAGGAATTCTTGGCTAGTTGCAACTTTTTGGTACTGAATGTTCGTTGCTTGGTTGTGGCATGGCGAGAACCAGTGTGGCAGTTCTAATTTTCGAAGCATTGACTTTTTCGATCAGCTCACATCAAAAAATCAACTTAGAAAAGGTTATTTCTCGCTGGCATGTATTACACCGCGTTCAGACTTCGCGATCGCTCCATCGCGAAGTCTGAATGCCGTCTAATACATGTCAGCGCAAAATGACCTCTTAACGCCTAATATCGTTTTCAAGGGCTGACAAATCATCATATTGATCGTTGCTGTATAATTAGCTCTAATACTGGTGCTTGATGCTGGAGAGACGCCTTTGTAGTTTTTTCGGGAATTGATTGGAAAAAGCATGGTTTCGCTATTTTGCTTTTTTGTCCCATGCGGTAGAGTAATTCTTTTTCAAGTTTTGCAGTCAAAAACTGATGTAGATGGTGCTGAAAATCGAAGGGGCTGCTCATTGTTGAGGTGAGATCAGGGTAATTTTTAGCAGAGCAGGAAGTACAGGAACAGCAATCAGTGTGGTTTTGGCCGGGTTATCTTGTGTACATTTAATCTTCTTATCAGTTAATGCCATTCGCTGTACGACGTGCTGCGATTTGTTGTGACGAGATCATTGTAGAGAGATTCCATGGCGCAGTTCGGCTTGCTGGGGGCATTTTGCTGGTTCCCATCGATCAGTGCCGATGCCCTTTGTGAAGACCTGCAAATTGCTGTGAAGCCGTGCAAGGGCACGATGTTAGTTCTCACTTGACACAGTCTCATCAAGGTCAAACATGTAATTTAACAGGAACTAGCAAAGGAAACTAGGGAAAATGCAAAATACCCCCTAAGGCCGAATAGCGCCAAATCCATTACTGAGATACTGAGCATGTTTGGAAATCGTTCACGCTAATGATAGCTGATCGTTGATCGTCTCATAAGTCGCTATCGATTCAGCCTTCGATAACAATTTATTTATATAGCTTTTCAGTCAGCGAGCGTCAACGTACGAAACCAGCCAAACCAGTTATAGACTTGGAACCCGATATCCCCATAAGAAGTGAACATGCTGTGACAGAAAGTCCTGCTGCGAAGAAGAGAAAGTATGACTCAGAGATATTTCTTAGCAGTTTTATGTTGACTTTCCATTTTATGCTGTCTTTCTCGGTTTTGTTTTCCTCTTTACTTTTTCTCCGCTTTTTTTCCATAGTTAACTTCTCTACTCTTCTTTTTTTCAGAGAACAGAAGGAAGAAGGTGAAGTGACTGACGACAGCAGTGAAAGCATGTCTGTTATTTACGTCGATGACGATGTCAGCTCAGCTGAAGCAAGTTAGTGCTTCTTCTATCTTTTTGGGCTACGCAATCTTTATTCACTGCGCTCGTTGCTGTATATCGACGGGAGTGGGGGGGGGGGTGGGTTGTATCGAGGCTTCAGCCTGTTCTTCACCGATTCTTGAAGAACACAAGCGGCAACAGCCGGAGGAGAACCACCTCAAACCCAGCTCCTCTGATGCGCCCCAGCAACCGCAGTGAAGAGGGCTGTACGTAGTTGAACTAGCTTGTGTTCGAATTTTTTTCATTTTTCTTAAGTTTTGAGCAAATGGTGAACTATACGTTCACCTCTCTTCTGCCCACCCTCAGAGTCGAACTGGACTCTGTTTTGTTTTTCCTTTGATTGTGTTTCTTCCTGGTAAGCCTGCGTTCATATTTGCGGCAGCAGTTTGGCGCACGCCGAGTTCTTAGCGACTGCCTCGAAAAGCTCAAAATTCCCCGCGAGACGCTTAAAGGCAGTTGGCGCGACAATTTGGTGCTCAGCCTAAAACGCAAGCAGGACGCTATCTATTTGGAAAATGGCGAAAAAACGAAGTCAAACGGTCGATTCGGACGAGTTTCCTGAGCCGTATTGCAAATAACCGCTCCGGTAGTACGGCTGCATGTATGTACTCATATATCCATTCAGCACTGCAGCCGCTTCATACCATTCCCTTCGCTTCATATTTTAAATAGCAAATGAAGCAAAACGAGCATCTGGTAAGGTCGTCCATTTGTGGGCGGGCGGGCGTGGTGGGCGTTTGGGTAGGTACGTTGTAGCTTGATAATACCCTTGTAAGGGTACCTTCCTAGGAAAAACCAACTACGCAGCGCCTACTCAAGGTCGCGGAAATTTGCCTTGCCAGGCGTATCAATCCTACTCGTCTCCAGGGATTTATCATGGCTGCCTTCAAAATGCTTGCGTACGCACAAAACATTAAACGCACTTATACTTTCCTACTGCCTCAAAAGGCTTCGTTCTCTCAGGACGCTGATGCGAAGTATGAGCGTTCTCTACTGCAAGGTGGAGGTTTTGCAATGGACAACAGTTTTCTATTTACTTCTTGTTGGGAGCGTGACTTTCAAAAGTTATGGTTCGCCTCCAATATTTGTCAGCAGCTATAAATATCTGAAATTGTAGTGAATTGAGTCTTACAGATTCAGTGATTTAGAAAGTTTTATTTATTTTACAATTTAGCGAAAGCGAGTTCACCCGTATCGGTCTCGAGGCAGGTGATCGATCTGACTGTTGATGAGGAAACAACGAAGCAGATCAATCAGCCTACACTTCGTGACGTTCTCAGTATGTTGTTTATCTATTCGCTTTCACATAGACACCTTATCCCAGAGATGAGAAGGGCATGTTTGCGCACGTTATGTGAATACGGCGCAAACCTCCTTTTCACGAGCTGAGGGCAAAGCTACGTTATTTCACCTAAACTGTACGTCTTTTGGCATGTTTTCATTTGAGACGATTGTCATTCTATTTTGTGACGGAGAAAGACATGATGACAATTGGCCTGGAATGGCAACATTCCACAGGGGGGTCAGCTTCTGCCACGTTCGAGTTGGGTATCCAGCCGCCCCCCATCCCCCCATTTCAGAAGTTTCAGGATGCTTATCAAATGACTTGGGAAGGGTTGTAGTTTTCACCATGTGCCAAGGTTACCTATAGAGAACAGATATTTCCTCGAACAAGGAACTTCTGCAGTCCCAATAAGAATGCCCTCACGGCGCCGATAACCGGTGCGCTGGGGGGAGGGGGGGGGGGGAGGTTGGGCACATCTGTCATGCATAGCAAATCCTCTGAACTTACATATGTGAACACCTCAACAACCTTGTCAACAGGCTGTAAATATTGTTATCACCTGTCTGATACCTTGTAAACTCCTGTCATTTTTGTCAGAATGACTTTTAGGATCTGAAAAAAGTGGATAAATGGCGTTTTGGTAACGCTAGTACCATTTCGCCAAGCTTGACGGGAGTTTACAGAACTTGCAGGGTTAGGCACGGAAGGTCAAACTTTGGGATTAGGCACCCCGTAAGCTTCTTTTTTTCTTGGAAAAAACAAAGCAGAGGTGTGGCTCACCCCCGGGGCATATTAGCGCCGCCATCTCATTGAGTGTCCCAAAGTATTATTGCCACTTCTTGAGTTTTTGAAAGTAATTCCTCATGGTTCCAGGTAGTCTGGTTAGTCAACATGACGACCTTGAAGACGGGGAGATTGAGGAAGAGGAGTGTGTGGTCGATCTCACTGAAGGTTTGTTATCCAGAGAGGTTTCCATCGAGCGATAGGTATTTTGGCACTATTTACCCTTTACTGCCCCTACGTTCACTACGAGGTTCGATTCCCCTCCCCCGTGAGTTTCGGCTAGGATTCTCATTCCCCGTGAACGGGAAACCCGGTGCACACTTATCGCTTGGCACGAAAACGCCGCCACTCGCTTCAAAGGTGCCGTTGCCAAAACAGCATCAACTCACCAAACTCGTTGAATATTTTCCTCATGAGTGGCCTGCCCCTCTTTTACGAATATTTCATTCGTTTGCTCGAAAAAGCTGGGTTTATGGGCTAGTGGTGCCCATGCAGAGTCTTACACCTTATTCGTTAGTTGCCGGGTTTGCCATTTGCGCGGAGCAGTCAGGCATATTTCATGGATAAGCCGAGTGCATAAGACTCTATTGGCCCTGCAACAACACGCCGTGAGCAGTTCCGCTCACAGGAAAGTGTGTTCAAGAAATCTTCCGCCCATTCGAACAATCGACCCTAAATTGAAAATAGCCACGTAGTTCATAGAAGAAAAATTAAAGTTTGCAGATTTTGATTTACGTTGTTGTAATATACTTAAGTCCAAGTAAATATCCATTCGCTTTAATTGTGTATATTATTGACTAAGTCTTTGGTTATCTTGTTTTTACGTTCGTTTTTCTTCCTGTTTCAGTGTTTATTATTTTTTTTTATTTCTTAATTTTTTTGATTTCGATTTCTTTATTCTATTATTTTGTAATTAATATTTATTTTATTATAAATTATCCTAACTCATTCTTTTTGCTTTTTGTCTTTACCGGATTTTTCTCAACAATTTTGTTGGTGGTTAATAAATCATGAGTAAATACTGGATTGAGAATTTGAATGCGTCATTCTTTTTTCAGGGTTCTAGAAACTCCGGCGGGTGGATTTGGTGCCGGAAGATTTGACGCTGAATTAAGATAAAAGAAAATCACCAAATAAAACGAGAATGTAATCTAATCTATCCTAACGGTTTTGGCATTTTGCCCCTGCTGGCAAAATCGGAATCGACCTACAGAACCTTAAAATCACCATCAGGTAAACCCGTTATATCCTAAATAATCAATGATGTACTTGTACCTATTCTTGGCTTTGCGACAGTTCACCAGATGTGAACACCGTTTAGATAATATCAAGTACCGGGAAAAGCCATGCAAGAAGGCAAAATTCAACCTGGGCGACAGCCGCTCTTTATCGATGCCTAGCTATTGTGCCACTTGACATGGTCCAGGTGAACTACATCCTGATATGTATGCGCCATCTTATAAGCTCTCCGGGCATTCAAAGCTGTGGCTTCGAGTCTCAGTAGGTGACCTGTTGGGATAAGAAATCCTTCCGAATTTTCCTGCTTTGCATAGAACAAATTTCGGTCTCACATGAGAATGTGAAGCGCCGCTGAGGTGATGACATGTTGCTTAAGCTGCTGTGTTGTGTCTGTGTCACTATTTTGGTAGAGCAGTGATGACAAATATCAGACTTCCATGTGATTGGGCCTGGTGAGGGTTTTCTTTGAATTTTTATACGTCATAGCTGCACTTACTCTTCGATATTCCTTGTCAGTTCATTCATAAGGGGGGTATCGATTCCGCAGGTGTCTGATCTAGATCTCCTCGGGCTTAGACCACAAACCAAGAGAAAGAGTCTGTAATCGCCTTCTAGGAAAAAAATGTTTCCATGTCTGTATGCAATATGAGGCGATATCAAAATCACCCGGTATAAGATTCACTTTCGAGACCATTTTACTGAACGAGCGGTGGTTCTCCATTGAACTAACTGAATAGGTTGTGAATACAAGTGTTTGATTTTGTGTAGACTCTCTTTTTCGACAACGTAAAGTCGCTGAATTTCAGACTGACACACGCAAAAAGCGATCCAAGAAGAGGATGTCTTTTCGGACATCGGTAAGTCCCAATCATTTTGAGTCGTTTATAAGTCGTTGAGTCCGCTATCGTTCGAAATTTTGAGCTGATTATAAGGTGATAGCAACAACACTTATGTATAGTGTAGTTCGCTGCGGACGGTTGGGCGTGTCAGGCGGGATGAGTTTGGCGCGGTGCCAAACCCGTTCTCCACCAGTTGTTAAAGCGAGCAAATGATATGACTGTATCATATCGTTCGTATTACTCGTTTTCTACCACTTTTTGTCGCATGCGCGCTTCAACAAGAAGGCAGAGAACGGCTTTGACGGGGTGACACACTCATACTGCCTGACACGCCCAACCGTCCGCAGCGAACTAAAGAGTATACTCTAGCTGCGGATGAAGCGGCGTGTCAGGCAGTATGTGTGCGCTACGGTGCTGAATCTGTTCTGTGCCAGCTGTATGCGACATTGTAGAAAAGACGATACGAACAATATGATACAGTCTTGTCACTTGCTCGCTTCAGCAACTGGTGGAGAACGGGTTTGGCAGCGCGTCCAGACTCATCCTGCCTGACACGACCCTTCCTCCGCAGCGAACTTAACTACAACTCTTAATTTGTCTCATTTCCCGATTAATTGGATGGTAGTTTAGATTTGTGCGAATATACAGCGAAAACCATCTAAGGATGATGCCTTGTCGAAAGGGACTCTTGAATGCGGTGGCATTCCAGTTCGTTACTGGGAAACATTTACGGTAAGAAATTAGTGCTAATTGCAGCGTCTAAACTTGCTCGCCTTGATTTTGTTTTCCTTCGTCACATCACGTCCAATATTTCGTTTATTCCAGGCGGCTCCAGTTCCTTCAAGCAGCAACACGGAATTTCGTGTGTGTTGTTATAATGTTCTGTGTCAACTGACCACATTGAAAACCATGTATCTCTACGGACATTTAAGGTTTGGATTTTTTTCAAATATCTATTTCAGATTTCTGGAAGCATATTATCATGAAGCGATTATGATCCTCCTTTTTGTGACCGACCGGCTGTTTGACCGATTATTTTCATAAGTGCTTACAAAATCTATGGTAAACCTTTGAGCTTAGCCTCACTGTGTTCAAAACTATTAGTTATTTTTTTTCTTTCATTATTCATATAATTCTCTTGATTCCGAGAGCTCATTTTCGAGGCTTGACTGGTTCTATAGTTTTTTTTATAGGACTAATGATACATCTGCTTTTTTTCAGAGCAGACGAAGGTCCGCTTCGGTGGGAACATCGATGGCCGATATTGGAGCAGGAGTTGATACGGCTGAATGCAGATATACTAGGTCTTCAAGAAGTGCAATACGACCACTTTGACCCGTGTTTCCGATCGTCAATGTCTAGAGGTGTTTTTTTTTCTTCTCAGCGTTTGTGGTTCCATTTGCATAATATTAGAAAGCTTGATTTTTAAGGGATTTCGAAGACAGTAAAATTGTTCTTTTGAATTAGAGAATAAGTAGATCTGTTTCGGAATCAGGGCACATCGTTCTTTGGGAATCCCCAACAAGGGTGGTCGTATTTGGCCGCCGGGAGAGGGGGGGTCGTATTTGGGCTGAGAAAAATTTATTTTGATAGTTGATTTTTCTCGCTTCACGGACGTTGGGGGAGGGTCGTACTTGCTCATTGCTGAGGAGGGGTCGTATTTACTTTCTGCTCTTTCTAGCAGGGGTGAAGGGTGGCGTGGTTGTTCGTGATTACTCCTGTTCATGCGTAATATACCCCCCCCTCCGACCCTCCCCTCCCCACAAAAAAAAAAAAGAGGGAGGGTCGTGCCTCGACTTACAAATCCCCGAACCAATGATTGCCCTGTTCGGCATGTTGAGATAAGGCTCTCGGTCATTGCAAAAAGTGGACATCTTGGCTGCTGGATTTAACCGATGCCGCGGACATGGAGCGCGTCGTTAGCGTTCGGCGGCTTAGCAGCGATAAAAAAGGGGGGATCGCTACACTGGTCGCTGGGGGGCTCATTATAATATTAGCCATTTGAAAAATGTTATATTTTTTGCACTTTTCTCGGTTTCCATTTTTATCCTGAATGCCTGCATATCTTCATCCCCCCCCCCAGGCACACACACGGCCTTTCTTTTATCGAAGGCGGACTGACAGAAAAATACAGAAAAAGTGCACTGAAAATTCGTGTGCAGTTTGGGGGGAAACATTAGAAGAATTTAGTGTGGTGCCCATCATCATACGTGAGCCAACTGCATTGTAATAGGCGACTGTAAATTCATACCTAACAAGTAATCTCTCAAAAGGCTTGATCATTTGGGCACCCCTACAACGAAAAACGGACTGATCAATTCCTAACGCGGAATGACAGTTAGTTTATCGTGACAGCTGCGCCATGTCAGGAGCTGGCGCGCGCTAGCCGTATCCTGAATTGAATTGTTAAAGCCAGGCACAAGAGAGAACAGTTGAGCTGGCGTTGCGCCAAACCACCTCCTGGTCACGCCCCACCGCAGAAAACGACTATATTTACTTACAATACAGAAGAGAACTGGCTTCCCCCCAAAATGTTTCATGCGAACTCTCGCATTTTATAGAGGAAGCGCACACAAAAATAAGATTCTTCTATTGTACATTTAAGCACGAGCCTCGATTCAAGATTTTGACGAAAAACTATTGAATTAGATTGTTATGACGTCTTACTATAGAACAAACGACCCGGATATTGATATGAACGACGGTTGATGCAAGCTGGTCAAGGAAAATGTAAAGTTGACGTCGTTAGGTTACCGAAATTGTTGAGTATATTTGTAGACTGACGCGATATACCATGGACAGAGATCAAAATAGGTTCGCGAATTTTTTATACTATAAAGTTGCTTATTGTAGTTCCATCTTTACGACGTTGGGGGAGATTTACCTAGTGCTCTGCGCTTTGTTTGGCGTTTCTTGAAATGACACTTCCAAAAAAACAGACTTGAACTCAATGAATAATATATCTACCGTAATCAGAATGGTCATCCTAAATTTAGCTGCTTTGACATGATCTGCTATAGCCTTCACTTAGTTTTCCGATAAGGGAATGCTACCCTTTTGCGTCTGATAATACTGAAGATAAATTTTGTTTTGGGATTCTGAAGCTAGAAAGTCCGAATTCGGAT